GGGGGACTGGTAGGGGAGTGGGGAGGAGAGAGACAACAAAGCGGGAGGGGATGTTAATAGCCAAATAGGCTCTTTTTCATGTTTCCCTCTGCCTGCCACCCTTGATGGATGGCTCAGACAGGCACCGGAGAGCATCAGGGAGACGCGAGCCCCTTTGGAGCGATGGGGGAATGGAGGGGAGGGGGCTTCAGGAGCCAGGATGGGGGTCTTTGGGGAGGGAGCTCTTGGAGGGTTGCAAGGGAATGACCCCAGGAAATGGCCAACTCTTGGGGAAACCAGAGGAAAATGGCACTGTTTACAAGTCTCCCCTCTGCCCGCCTGCCCCCATTGTCCCCCGTGGCCGTGGAGACAACACCAGAGATCGCAGGGTGTAGGTAGGGTACGTGTACCTCCGGACACAGAGAGCAGCGAGAAGCTGTGGGTCTGCTTATGGTTGGGAAGGAGAGGTGGCCAAAAACCGGGGCCTGGGAATTCCCTTCCTCCCCTCCAACTCACAGAGCCTCTGCTGTCTTTCTCATCATTTTGCTCCATCTTTCCTCCTTTCTCTTTGTCTCTGCTATTGTTTCTTTCCTCCATCTCCCCCACCCCAACTGGGTGACATCAGCCAACTGTGCTAGGAACTGTCTTGCTGAGATGTTGTCTGTGGCATTTGAGCACACATAATGCCCCCTATTTTCTGTCACTTTACTGAAGTCCTGGGGAAACAGGTCCCCACTGGAACCTTAACATGACCCAATTTGTGAGAAAATGCAACCTTATCCCTTTTATGCCTTCCCCCGGCCCTGGTCTGCGAGGTACCTGGTGCAGAAGCTGAAAATTACAGATTCCTGGCCAGGCCTGGGACTCAGAAACATAGAAGAGAGTCTACCAAACTCAAGCTGCTCTAGCCAAGGCTTCCCTTTTACAATCCCATGACCCCTAAAATAAATGAAATGAAGAAAGAACTATGTAGCCTGTTAAAGCCCAAGCCAAATGCTAACATGACTTTGCAGCTGGGGTTTTTTCTGCTTGTTCAAGAAAGGATTGAATTACCTGGGCATGGTGGCATACACCTTTAATCCCAGCACTTGGGAGGCAGAGGCAGGTGGATCTATGTGAATTCAAGGCCAGCCTGGTCTACATAGTGAGTTCCAGGCCAGCTGGGGCTACATAGTGATACCCTATCTCAAAAAACAACAAACAAACAAAAAAGGATTGAATTTATACAAACAAAGAGCTTTTCAAGAGAAAAGTTACTAAACACTAAAAAGCTGTGGAAGCAGAAGAAAGCCTCACTTCCTATGGAAGATTTTTATTGATTATCATCAGCACCATGGTGATTATTATTTACAATCTGGGGGGTAAAGGGATTACCCAGTTCAAATGTGGCTACTGCAGGGCAGTTAAGAGCAATGGGTCTGGAGTCTGACCATCTGGGTTCAATCCTGCTTTCTCTTCTCAGAAGCTGGATGTCTGCAGGTAAATTATGTTGTCTTTCTAAATCTCTGTTTTCTCTTCGGTAAAATGGGATTGTAATTGAGTGGGTGGTAGAAGGGATAAATGAGACATTCCACACGAAGCAAATAATGCCTTGAGAACCTCCTGCTTCAGCCTTCTGAGTTCTGGGAGGGCAGATGTGTGTAACCATGCTCATCTATGGCTGATGAACTCTCCCTCTCTCCCTCCCTCCCTTTCCTTAGGGTGTCCCCTGTGTCCCAGGCTGGCTTCTTTTATGTCACTGAGGATTACCTTTAACTCCTGATCTTCCTGGCTTCTACCTCCTAAGTGCTGGGATTACTGGTACATGCTGCCTCAACAAGCTTAAAGTTTTGCTTTTATTTTATTTTATTTTATGTATGAGTGTATTGCCTGCATGTATGTAAGTGCACCCATATTGTACACCCTGGAACTGGAGTTATGGACAGTTGTTAGCTGCCATGTGGGTGCTGGGAATTGAACCTGGATCCTCTGCAAGAGCAGCCAGTGCCCTTAACCACTGAACCATCTCTCTAGTACCTTGTTTTGTCTTGTTTTTTAAGAACAAGAGTCTCACTATGTAGCCCTGGCTGGCCTAGAATGCACTATGTAGACCAGGCTGGTCTTTGCCTCCAGAGTTCAGGAAGGATTAAAGGCATACACCACCACACTCTGCAAGCTTGAAGGTTTTATAATGTTCTGATTAAAAAGAAGAGGTGGATTAAAACCCACAAATTAGGCCCGTGAGATGGCTCAGTGGGGAAAGGCTGTGAGGTGGCCCAAAAGGTGATGGTGATTGCCACCAAGCCTGAAGATCTGAGTTTGATCCCCAGAACCTACATAGTGGAAGGAGAAAACTGACTCCTGCAAGTTGTGCTCTGACCTCCATATGCATTTTATAACATGTTTGCCCCCCTTCATAAAATAAACTTTATTTGTTTCTTGGTTTTTTGGGGGGTGTTTTTTTTTTGGTCTTTTTGAGACAGGGTCTCCCTGTAGCCACAGCTAGCCTGGATTCGCTTTGGAGACCAGGCTGGCTTCGAACTCGCAGAGATCTGCCTGCTTCTGCTTCCCGAGTGCTGGGACTAAAGCCATGTGCCACCATGCCCAGCATATAAATGTTTTTTAAACAAATCATTTAAGGAATCACATGCTAAGTGTCATAACCAGCATGGATATCAAATATTCTTAACACTCAGCTCTAGGGCAAGAGCTGCATGACTTGAAACAAGACTCCCCTAAAAAAAAGCCCCAGAGCCCATGTCCTTAAGGAAGTAGGAGATGGGGTAGAATAGAATGAAGAAGGCATGAAACGAGAAGATCTGCATCGGGGGTATGGCTTCCTCGTGGAGAGTGCTTGACTGGATCTATGATAGAAACTTACAGTCTTAAATATATAGACCAAGACACTTGGATCATATCTTGTATACATTGAGGAGTGATTGAAGACTTTTGAACAGTATTACACATGTAAAACTCTGCATGCATTTGTACATACATGCATATGTATGCACTCTGTGTCTTTTGAGACAGGTTCTCACTATGTTGTCTAGGCTAGCTTAAATTCCTGAACTCAAGTAATCCTCTTACCTCTGCTTCCTAAGTACCTGGGACTACAGACACTTGCCCAATGTCTGGAATTATTCCTTTCTTTTTTCTTTTTTTAGAGAAAAATTAACCTAGTGTAGTGTGGTGGTATATAGAGTTTGTAAGGGAGAAACTGGAGACTGTGGAATCAGCAAAGGAAGAAAGACCCAAAACAGAAAAGAAAGAATGGATATGGAAACAGGAAAAAGTTGGTAATGAAGTGGATGTTAGGAAGAGAGGAAAGAGGGCACGCAGCAAGGTGCTAAGCTCTAAGACTTTGAACCCAAACAATGGGAGGAAATCCGCAGACACATTGTTTGATCATCCTGATTCAGCTCTGACCGGGGTCCGAGATGCCTTCGTACAGGAGATGACTACAAAGCCCACTGTATGAGCTTGCTGTGGCATCATATTTTCTGCAGATCCATTGTGATAGGAAGTCAGTGGTATCTAGCCTTCATCCATCTGATTCGTGCTTTGAGATGTTGAGAATTGATTATCTTGTGTTTCTTCCTTTGTCCACCTACCTCCCCATGACTGATCTTAGAGGTTAAGGGTCCATCTCATGGTGAATATAAATAGCCCTTTTGGGGGACTTAAGGCTCAGCTCTACCCGCCTAACACTTTAACAAATGAGCCAAGAAGAATGCACCCATCACATAGGTCCTGCCCACTGGGACCTGAAACTCTAAGATGGTCTGCAGTTTGACGATCAAGTAATGAGGCAAATTTATAGGCAAATGCCCTAGGAGCCATTTCTCTCTTTGAGGATGTTCCCTTCAAAGCATCTCACTGGGAGGCTGCACTTGTTCCAAATGCTTCCATTGTTGAAAACATTTGGTAAGGTTCTGTGGGAATCATCTTTAGTCCGCAGCACATTTGGTTTACCCTCCTCAGAGGCTCCAGATCTGCATCTTTGGAAAATGAGATGGTTTGACTGTTGGCATTTTTTTTTTTTAAGTTTCTAGTTCGCTTTTAGCAATGACAGTGATTGAAATGAAGTCATAGTTGGGCACAGAAATGTCTATGGGAGGCTGAGACTTGGCAGGAGGAATGTTTGAACCCAGGAATTTGAGGCCAGCATAAGCGGCATAGCAAGCCTTGTTAAAAAAACAACAACAACAAAAAAAAACCTTACAACCTTTTTCTTTTCTTTTTTCTTCTCTTCCCTCTTTCCCTTCTCCTCCTCCTCTTCCTCTTCCTCCTCCTCCTCCCCTGCTCCTCCTCTTCCTCCTCCTCCTCCTCCTCCTCCTCCTTCTTTTTTTTTTTTGGTCTTTTTAACACAGGGTCACCCTGTAGCCCCAGCTTGCCTGGAACTCACTATGTAGACCAGGCTGGCCTTGAACTCACAGAGATCCACCTGCCTCTGCCTCCCAAGTGCTGGGACTACAGGCATGTGCTACCACACCTGGCTTTTTTTTTTTGTCTTTTTGAGACAGGGTCTCCCTGTAGCCCCAGCTTGCCTGGAACGCACTATGTAAACCAAGTTGGCCTTGAACTTACAGAGATCTGCCTACCTGTGCCTCTTGAGTGCTGCGACTAAAGACATATGCCACCATGCCTGTATTTCTTTTCTTGAGAGCAAGTCTCACACTGTAGCCCAAGCTAGCCTTCAGATTTGTGGCAATTGTCCTCAGTCTCCCAACTGCTGGGATGACAGGCCTGAATCACCAAACCTGGCTTAGAATCATAGCCTTCTTTAGCTGGGTATGTTGGCATACATCTGTGATCCCTGTACTTGGGAGACTGAGGCAGGACAATTGGGAAGTTGAAGCCATCCTGGGCTATAATAGTGAGATCCTGTACCAAAAACAAAACAACAAACTAACAAACCATCTAGCCTTTTCTAAAGAGCCATGCTGATTTGATGTCATGATCCTAGTTTGGATCCAGAACTGAGGTGGAAGAAGTTGGTGAATGAAATAGCCAGAAAGAGTTCTAGTGGGAAAATTGATAGAAGATGAATGAAGGTACATTGTAAATTAGGCAATTGTTTTGTAGCAATTTAAATTTTTTGATTTTGATCATTATACAGAGGTTGTTTTGTGTGGCAGATGAATGCCTTTGCTTTGAGGAAATGAATTCTAAAGTATTTAAGGAAAAAGGAGCACAATGTCTTCAATGTACTCTCAAAGTTAGAAAAAGGGCTATGGAGATGGCTCAGTGGGTAAAGCACTTGCCATGCAAATGTAAGGATCTGAGTTCAAATCCCCAGAACCCACATGAAGCCTCACATGGTAGCACAAACCTATAATCCCAGCGCTCCTTGGTGAGATAAGAGGCAGAGACAGGAGGATCCTTGGGAGTTTAAGGGCCAGCCTGGACTATACACAGTGAACAACAAAGAAACCTGTCTCGAACTAGGTGGAAGGTGAGGGCTGACACCTGAAGATGTGTGCACGTGCACACCCATACCCACATACCCCCCACACACACAATCACATACACATACACATTATACATATATCACATACTAAAAAAATTTCAGAAAGATGCTAATGTAAAATATAGATAGAAAAGGCTAAAATAAATAGATCTGGATGTAAACAATTGATGGATCTGGGTAATGGGTATATAGTAGCTCTTTATATTAGTTTTTATATTCTTGAATAAGTGAAATTTATTAAAATAAAAAGCTATAAAACCTTTGAGGGAGTTGGGGTTGGGGAGACAGCTCAGTGGGTAAAAACAGTTGATGTAGAACCATAAGGACCTGAGTTCAATCCCCAGCACTCACATAAAAAGCCAGGCATGCCTGCACATGGGTGTGGAAGCAGCTAGATCCCAAGAGTTTGCTGGCCAGCCAGCATAACAGAACCAGTGAGCTTCCAGTTGGTAAGACTCATTATCTCAAGGTAATAAGCTGAAAAGCAATAGAGGAAGACACCTCTCAGGAGCTGCTCTTCTCTTTAACTTCAGAATTGGATGAAGACACATGGAAGGCATGGGAGTCTATTACACCTGTGGTTGACACGGAACTGGGAGAGTTAATATTTTGGATGACAGGCTCAGGAGAAAGGAAGATCTCAGTAACATGGGGAACATTGTCTTTATCAGTGTTCAACTGAGTTGAGACAGATGAATACAAATGAACTGAATGTGGAGGAGTATACCTATGAGTTGGGCATGGTGGTGCACACCTTTAATCCCACACTTGGGAGGCAGAGGCAAGTAGATCTCTGTGAGATTGAGGCTGGCCTGGTCTACATAGCAAGTTCCAGGCTAGCTGGGGCTACAGGGAGACCCTGCCTCAAAAAACAAAACAAAAAAGAGTTAATATAGGTAACATGACTAAGGGTAACCTGCACCCAAAACAGAAAGCTTAGTTAGTTGTTGCTGCAACTTCCATATGCTGAGATGATACAGGAGCTACTATTATTTCTGGCTGCTGTCCCTAATTCCATGTTCTGAGCTGCATTCGTAAAAATCCAGTCTCCAGGGGCTAGACAGATGGCTCAGTGGTTAAGAGCACCGGCTGCTCTTGCAGAGGACCTGGGTTCAAATCCCAGTACCCACATGGCAGCTAACAATCATCCATAACTCCAGTTCCAGGGGGATCTGACAACCTCTTCTGACTTCTGTGGTCATTGCATGACATGAGCGCACTTACATACATGCAGGCAATACATTCATACACATAAAATTAAAAAATAATAAAATATTTTTAAAAATCTAATCTCCAGGGTCAGCAAGATAAAGATGGATTAGTGGGAAAAGGCACTTTCTGCTAACCCTGAGAACCTGAGTTCAATTCTCAGAATCATACAGTAGAAGGAGAGAACCAACTCTTGCAAGTTGTCCTCTGACCTCCACATGGGTGCTATGGGATGTGTGCATTCACACACATACATACACTAAATAAATGTCTTTTTAAAAAAAGTTTATTTACCATTTTTATTTTATGTGCTTGTGTGTATTGCCTGCATGTAGGTAAGTGCACCTGTGTCATGCAATGCCCGAGGAGGTCAGAAGAGACTGTCAGATCCCCTGGGACTGGAGTTATGGACAGTTGTTAGCTGCCATGTGGGTGCTGGGATTCAAACCCAGGTCTTCTGCAAGAACAACCAGTATTCTTAACTGCTGAGCCATCTCTCCAGCCCCAATAAATGTCATTTTTAAAATTAAACTTATTTATTTTTATTTTCTGTGTATGAGTGTTTTGCCTGCATGTATGTAAGTGTGCCATGTGCATGCAATACCCATGGAGGCCAGAAGAGGGAGTTGGATTCCCTGGAACTAGAGTTACAGATGATTGTCAGCCACCATGTAAGTACTGGGGACAGAACCTGTGTTTCCTGCAAGAGTGGCAAGTCCTCTTAACCACTGAGCCATCTCTCTAGCCCCAAAATAGATAAATGTAATTTTTTTTTTTTTTGAAACAGGGTCTCCCTGTAGCTGCGGCTGTCCTGGAACTCACAATGTAGACCAGGCTGGCCTCAATCTCACAGAAATCCACCTGCCTCTGCCTCCTGAGTGCTGGGATTAAAGGCATGCACCACCACACCCGATTAATAAGTATAATTTTAAAAAGGAAAAAAGAAAAACAGTTTGAACTGATTGTGGTAGCACATACTTGCAATCCTAGCACACAGGATTCTGAGGCAGGAGGATTAAAAATTTGAAGGATTCCCATGGGCATATATAGAATTGGAAGTCAGCTTGACCTACAGTCTGAAAAATGGAAAGGGGTTATTTTGTCAGGTAGTAAGTTCCCTGTCACTCAAAATATCCAAAGAAGGATGTTCTCAGGGTTACTATAGTAAGAATTCTTACAACAAGACTTGGGTTAGATAGACCTCCAGTCTGATAAACTCTGAAAATCTAGACAATCATATGTCTGTTTAGAAAAAAAAAAAAAGGAAAGCCACCAACTGCCTCATTACTGTGTGGTCTAGATTATATCATGTTTACAGAAACTGCCCACAAACCCACTGATTGTACCCAGCTTGGGAAGCCTGGACAGAATACTCCTAATTTTGAATTTCTGGCTTTCCTATCCAATCTCTTTTCCAGTCTCCCATCTGCCCCTGGGTTATTGCTGCCCAGAACTTTCTATTTTGAGACAGATTATATATTCCAGACTGACCCTGAACTAAGTATGTAGTAGAGGATACACTTCTGATCTTCCTGCTTCTACCATGCCTAAGTGCTGGGACTACCGGCATGTGCCACCACACTTGACTTAGGTGGTGCTGGGGATCAAACCCTGGGTTTCATACATGTTATACCAACTGAACTACATCCTCAGCCCTACCCCCATCCCCCTTTTTAAAACAAGGTCTCTGGGGCCTGGAGAGATGGCTCAGAGGTTAAGAGCCATCTGACTGCTCTTATAGAGGAGCCAGGTTTGAGTCCCAGAACCCACATGTCAGCTAACAACTCTCTGTAACTCCAGTTCCAGGGGATCCTATGCCCTCTTCTGACCCGAGTCCCAGCACCCACATGTCAGCTAACAACTGTGTGTAACTCCAGTTCCAGGGGATCCTATGCCCTCTTCTGACCTCCATGGCCATTGCACGACATGGGTGCACTTAGGCACCTGCACACAAAACACTAATACAAATAAAATAAAAATAACAAATAAAATATTTTAAAACAGCTGGGTGTGGTGGCACACGCCTTTAATCCCAACACTCGGGAGGCAGAGGCAGGCGGATCTCTGTGAGTTCAAGGCCAGCCTGGTCTACATAGTGAGTTCCAGGACAGCTGGGGCTACAGGGAGGCCCTGTCTCAAAAAGACCAAAAAAGAAATTTTTTTAAAACAAGGCCTCTGTAGGTCAGGCTGGCCTCAAACTCAAGATAATCCTGCTTCAGCCTCCCTAAATGCTGGGATTACAGATGTGAAGTACTGCACTTGTCGAGTTTGCCTCGACAAGAACTTTCCATGTCTGATTTCAGGACAGGATTTCCCTAGATATTTGGAATACATTCTAGATGTTCCATTTCCCTCCTGATGCTAACTGTATTTGTTATTTACTTTCAGAGCATAATTCCTGCACTTAGAAAAGTCAGCAGGGGTCCCAGCACTCTTGCTCAGAGTGGCAGAAAGCAGGGCGGAGGGGCTGAAACAGTGACTTCTAGCCCCAGAGGATGGGCTGCACACCTCAACAACAAAGAAGGTAGAAAATGGAGATAAGAAACAGGCTTCCTTTTCTCCTGTAGTCTTCCCCCAATTCCTTCCTGTTTTAACCACAGGAAGAGTGATTAGGCCACCGAGGAAGGACGGCAGGAGAAAGCAGATGAGTTTTTATCTGGCTGGGGTCTGCCTGAGCTGCAGCCATGTGACTACCTGGCTGACCTGGGGTCTCCATCATGTCCCTACCTGTCCACAAGACGGATCAGGCTGCCCTTCTCTCCAGCCCTCCCCCTCCATTCCAGGGAAGGTTGCTAGGATAATTATAGCCTCCTGGTTTCTTTCTCTCCTTTCCTATTACTTTGGGTTCTAGAATTTTTTTTTTTCTTTTCTTTTCTTTCTCAGGGGACTGAGTCACTTCATCCACACTGGGAACTAGAATCTGGAAGGCTCCTTTCAGCAGAAATCATAAGGAAAAATTCTCAGGTCATCTCTCATTTTTGCCCTCTCTGCTTCCCTTCCTCCCAGTGGTAAGTAGGAACCTATTACTTTGTCCTTCATTTAGCAAGACAGAGCCTTTTCCCCCAAATGCCCAGACTGTCTCCATATTGACATAATCACTCTCCTCACAACCTCTCTATTCAGTTTCAGAACAGACCAGCTTTGCTTTGTTCTGTAGTTTGGTTTGTTTTCGGTACATGAAATGGAACCCAGGAACTTACACATTCTAGGCAAGTGCTCTACCTTGAGCTATAACCAGTCCTTTTTTTTTTGGTCTTCTTTTGAGACGAGCGTCTCCCTGTAGCCCCAGCTGGCCTGGAACTCACTATGTAGATCAGGCTGGCCTCAAACTTACAGAGATCTATCTGCCTGCCTCTGCCTCCTGAGTGCTGGGAACAAAGGGGTGTGCCACCATGCCCAGCCCTAGTCCTCTTTTTACCTTTTATTTTGAGACAGGGTTTCACCTGCCTAGGCAGGTGTTGAATTTTCCATCTTCCTGCCTCTGCCCCCAGAGTAGTTGAGTTGACAGGCCTGTGCCACCAGGTCTGGTCAGCAGACTTGCGTTGGAACCCTGCAAGCTCTATGACCTTGAGCAAATTTCAAAATATCTCAATCAGTTACCACACTTGTGAATTAGGAATGGTTATGCCTCTAGGACAGATTTTTTTTTTTTTTTTGAGATAGGGTCTCAATGTGTAACCAAAGTTTGCTTCAAACCCAAGATCTTCCTGCCTCATTCTCCAAAGTGCTTGCTGGGATTTACAGGCATGTGACACCATGCATAAATTTACTTCACAGAATTTTTGTTAAAAACTCAATAGACAGGGCTGGAGAGATGGCTCAGTGATTAAGAACACTGGCTGTTCTTGCAGAAGACCCAGGTTTGAATCCCAGCACCTACATCACAGCTAACAACTGTCTGTAACTCCAGTCCCAGGGGATCCGACAGCCTCTTCTGACCTCCTTGGGCATTGCATGACACAGGTGCACTTACCTACATGCAGGCAATACACACATACACATAAAATAAAAATAACAAATAAATAAATAATTCAATAGAATAACATACATAAAGCTGTTAGCCAGTGACTGGTAAAGTGAGTGCTGGAAACATGGCAGGCGGGACCCTGCAGGTCAGGTTTGCATGTGGGGTGGTATCGAAAGCAGAAAGGAGAGTCAGGGAGGGAGGGAGGGGAGAGAGAGAGAGAGAGAGAGAGAGAGAGAGAGAGAGAGAGAGAAAGGAGGGCTTTCTGGTGATAGGCCTAGGTGGGAAAGAGAGAAAGTGGGAATGGGCAGAATAAGGCAGAGCAGGGAAAGGGACGGGAAAGGAAGGCAGAATGACAAAGAGCAGGGAGAGAGCCCAGCTGGTGTGAAACAGACAAGAGGTGGTAAGGGGAGGCAGAAGGAGAAGAGGAAACTGGAGGGGAGGTGGTGGTTGAAATGGGGAAGCAGGCCCAGGACAGACAGACTGAGAGCGATCCGGGAAATCGAAAGACGGACAGACAGATGGCAGGGACAAGGGGGTGCCCTGAGTTGCCTGCATTCTGCTGTGTTTACCAGCTAATTGAGTTAAATTGTTGTCAGAGATGTAATTAAAGGGTAGAGAGAGCTCTCTGGCAGGCCCGAAACAGATGGAGGGGGCTTTAATTGGTAATTAAATTCTTCCCTGGCAGCTGAGGAAGGAGCTTGTGCTTCAGCCTCACAAGGCCACGGGTGGCCTTCCCCCACTCCCAGCCCCTCTCAGGGGCCCTTTGGGGAGGGGGCTGGGCTCTGCGAACCAGCAGCCTGGCAGGCAGGGCAGCCTGGTAACTGCAGGGAGATGAATGCCAAAGCAAGCCTTCTTCCCTGCCACGGCTGGCTCAATTCCCAGGGGCTAAGCCAAGCACACCAGCCCTATGCCCACCCCTGACTGACCTCCCCACTCCTACACACCAAACTGCATTGACAAGCAAATTCCTACATGGTCTATTGCTTCAGTGGGGGTTTCAGAAAGAATCATGGGGCACTGGCTCTGTAGGCTGCTGAGCTCAGGGAGGTAAGTTGGGTCGATCAGGGACCCAGGCAGACCCAGCACCTGCTCCCAGTCTCTTCCAGGAGTCACGTGCAGATCCCATTCTGCTTGACCTATCAGTGTCTATCTGACCGTGCTTCCCTCTTTCACCCCCACTACACAAGTAGAGCAGGGATTGGTCAGCAGCCTGGATGGGCAGATAGTTTCAGCAGGCTGTCTAGGATGTGAGCATTTAGACTGATCAGCTTTCTAACCAAATCTCAGTTGGACCTGCCTTTCTTTGGGTGGGAGAGCAGATTTCTTGGATACCCACATCTTCTCAACATGTTCCTCTTCAAAGAAAAAAAATTAGCAGAGTTGGAGCGATGGCTCGGCAGTTAAGAGTACTGGCTGCTCTTGCAGAAGACCCAGGTTTGATTCCTAGTGGCAGCTAACAACCATCTGTAACTCCAGTTCCTGGGGACTCCAATTCCTTCTTCTGACCTCCACGGGCATTGCATGACACGGGTGCACTTACACATACACAGGCAATACACTCATACACATAAGATAAAAAATAATTTTTTAAAACTACAAAAAATAATTTAAAAATAATAAAGTATTTTTTCAAAATTAAAAAATTAATTAAAAAATAAAAAAGATGGGCAGGTAAGATGGCTCAGTGGGTAAAAGCACTTGTTACCAAGTGTGACGACCCGAGTTTGATTCCCAGGACCCATAGGGCAGGAGAGAACTGATTCCTGAAGGTTGTCCTCTTACCTCCACAGAGCAGCACAGCATATGAATCCTCCCTCACATACAATAAAGAAATGTCTTTTAAAAAGGAAAGAAGCGCCAGGTGTGGTGGCGCACGCCTATAGTCCCAGCATTTGGGAGGCAGAGGTAGGTGGATCTCTGTGAGTTCAAGGCCAGCCTGGTCTACATAGTGAGTTCCAGGACAGCTGGGGCTCCAGGGAGACCCTGCTTCAAAAAGACATTAAAAAAAAAAAAAAATGAAAGAAGCAAAAAGAGAGCAAAGGGAAGACAAGAGGCTTTCTAAAAGAAAGCTGAAAGAGAAGTTAAGCAGGGAAAAAATCCAGGGCAAGCACAGCGGCATCCTTGTAAAGTGCATAGCCTGCTGTGACTCAGCAAGTCCAGAGCCCCACTTAGGAAACCAAGCTCAATGCTAGATGTATAACCAAGGAACAAAGGCTTGCTCTGGGCTTAGTAGGGCCCAGAGTCATGAGGGAGCTTTGAAAGGTTTCTAGAAATGGTTGTAAAATATATGATAGGAAGGTTTGTGAGACACAGTGCCAGACTACATAGATTTTTTACTTTTTGTAGAACCTGGCTCTGTTCCTTCCCTTCAGTCCCACACATGCTAATCTCTGCAAGGAATTGTTCTCCCACTCTGCCCAGTCACTTTCTTGGACTAACTTCTCCTTATCCCAAGGCAATGGTTTGAAATCTTCCCAGGTGTCAGGTTGTAGTGGCTTCTGTCCAATTCCAACAATTGAGAGGCTGAGGCAGGAGGATTGCTATGAGTTCCAGGATAGTCAGACTAAGAGCAAGACCCTGTTTCAAACAAACAAACCAAAAAACAATCTTCCTAGGTAATTCTGAGGATTGCCAGATCGAACCCACTAGAATAAATGCTGAGTCTCTTTTAGCTACAGACGTTTGTTTTTCCCTGGTTTTCTTTTGCGTGCTGGCATTTTTCCTCCAGCTAGAATGGATCAGACAGGCTAGTCTAACAGGTAGAAAGCAAGCAAGAATGAGAAAATGTAGTTCTTCACAGAACCCTGGCAAACACAGAGCACGAAGCATGCTTGTTGGGTGAGACTTTCACTATATAATGAAGGAAGTTAGGGTTTCTGTGTTCATCTCTGCTTTCTCATGGCAAAGACAAACTATGAGCCAGGCAGGTGGCAAATTCTTAACCCTAGTATTCAGGAGACTGAAGTAGGAGAATTATTGAGAGTTCCAGGCCACCCTGAACTACATAGAGAGTTTGAGGCCAGCCTGAGATACATAGTAAAATACTTTAAAAAGAAAAAATAAAGCAAGGGGGTAGGGCTGGAGAGATGGTTCAGGGGCTAAGAGTACTGGCTACTCTTGCAAAAGACCTGGGTTTGAATCCCAGCACCCATATGACAGCTAACAAGCGTTTGTAACTCCAGTTCCAGGGAATCCAACCCCCTCTTCTGGCCTCCATGGGCATTGCACAATACAGGCTGTGATCCTAGCACTTAGAAAGCTGAAGCAGGACTGTCATGAGATAAAAACAAACAAAGGGGCCTGGAGAGATGGCTCAGTGGTTAAGAACACTGATTGTTCTTGCAGAAGACCTGGGTTCGAATTCCAGCACTCACATGGCAGCTAACAACTGTCTGTAACTCCAGTTCCAAGGGATCCAATGGCCTCTTCTGTCTTCCTCGGGCATTGCACAACACGGGTGCACTTACCTACATACAGGCAACACACTCATACACATAAAAATAATAACTGGCAGAGTATCTTCCTAGCGTGCATGAGGCTCTGCATAAAACAAAGTGTGGTAATGTATACCTATAATCACAGCACTTGGGAGGTGCAGGCCAAGAGATCAGAATTTTGAGGTCATCTTTGGGTACACAGTGAGTTCAAACTCAGCCTGGTCTTCATGAGAAGCTGTCTCACAATGCAAACAAAACAAAAACAAAACACCAGGTCATGGTATATATTGTTTGCCCATTTCTGTGGCATTCAATACTCTAGTACAAGCCTTTTACAAGCTGGGTGGTCAAGTGCTCCCTCCTTAAAATGAGGCCGAGCTGGGGATACAGCGCAATGGTAGGGCACTCGCTTAGCATTCCTGAGGTTCCAGATCCAGTGCCCCCACCTCCAGATGAGGCAGCTGAGGCCCAGCAAAACAGAGTGCAGTTCATTGGTACCAAATTCCAAAGCGCTTGACTCCCAACTGTGACACACACGCCACAATCTGGCTTAGTTGTCTCTGGCATCCAGAGGGAAGAGGGACTCTATTGTAGGTGCTTCCAA